GAGCTCCGACACAAAGCAAGACTCTTTATGTCCGCAATAAGTGACAATTGCTGGACGAGTCGAATGCCCGTCAAAACTCGATCGGACCCACAACCGCCCGATTTTGCTTCAACTGCAAAGAGTAGGACAAAGAACGTCGCTCGCGGTTTCTCTGCGGAGCATTCTACATCTTTCTGTCGAGAAGTTTGCCGGCAACGAAACCTAGCATGTCCTAACACAAGCAGAGTAAGGTAACTGTGCCCTGCAACGCTTTTGCCTATACTTGGGCTTCATGGCAGAAACACAGCGCCAAACCACATGCAGAAAAGAATCCCTTCCCGCAAGCTGCAGAATCAAACCTCTCCACATATCAGCGTGCCTGCATATTTGGCAGGGTCGGCGCCGCAGTTGTAGGCTCCAAGTCCATCACTGCGCCCATCGCAGTTGCCATGGTTCCAAGCCTGAGAAGGCATCACCATGTCCGAATCGAAAGAATCTGTCACAGCCCCTTGTGACTATAGATTTGGAGACTCTATGTGGTGAAACATTCATTCACAATCGTGAACATCGCGCAAGTTTCTACCACTGCTGCCCATTTTGCGCATCCGCACTTGCCAGCAGCTGCACACAGATTACCCGAAACCTTCCTCCAGCATCCATGCTCCGCACCCAGCGATACCACTCAAACATTCGACGCAACCTAGATTGCTCAAAGTGTCCATGTAGTAGTGCACATCTGCCACGACCCGAGTTCTTCGCTCCTGTTCAGGCAGCATGGGCGCATGCAGACAGGTCCTGCCTCATCTCTAGCCTGGCATGCTGGTGGCTAAGCAGGTTACAGCGGTTGCACCACCAGACATGTTGAAAGGTTCTCACTGTCACAGGATGTCACAGGCATGGCTTCGTCCTCCAACGTGAAAGCCTCCTGGTACCAGGGCACTGCTAAGCCATTGAAGTCCTGAACACGTCAGGAAGGTCAGACTCCCAGCACGCTGACGGTGGCTATATGTGGATGGCACACGAGTCACAGTCACTGCGCCATTCCGAGATGTGCAAGAAGAGAAGCAGGCCAGTATTCTGTTCTCCCAGCTTGCGTGCTGCTGACCCTGGAGTTGTACACATAAGGACATAAGGTTCTTGTTTTGCACATTTTGTCAGTGCGCGTTCAAGCCTGAAGCCTGAGCTACCAGGACGTGCAGCTTAGCTGCCTGGAAAGCTGTCTCGACCAAGCTCACGTAGAGCTTAAGTCCCACAGGAAGGCGTGAGCCTCACGAGACTCTTGACGGCAAAGGGAGCTGAGCATGAAATCGGGCAGATCTGATGAGTGGCTGGGTTTTCGCGAGGCATTAAGCAGTGCAGTTGAGCCACTAAGAAATCTCGCTGATGCTTCTCCCAGCCAGGACAGGATGGCCTCACAGCAAGTTGGGAATGCCAAACTTCAAAACCGGACAGTCGCGACACCCTTCCGAGTCTCTTTCTGGCTTCGGTTCAACTTTGCAGGATCATGGATGCTGATACCTATATCGCCCCACGAGAGACACTGTGGGACAAGGACAGCATGGCCTGGTCAGGAGCAAATTGCTTCCTTGGCTCCAGGCAGATTCATTGCATTTCCACAAGCAGCTTCGTTTTTCCGCCCGCTGCCTCTGAGCCTACTGCTACCCAATGCCGTCCGCAGATTGCCTTTGCAGGACTTGCTCCTCCAAGTACCCGGATAACAAAAGGCAGCGCTTGCCCTCCGATTTGCTCGATGCACAAGGCTAGGAAGAGTGTCGCCGAGTAAGACTGCAGGATACAACATCATCAGTATGCAACTGCTCTAGACTCTAGTCACGCGTCCAGCGGTTCATGTGACCGGGCTCGTTCATGAGGGTGACCCCGGCAATCGTGCCTGAAGCAGGGTGGCATCAGCGACCAAGGACTGACGTTGCCTCTCCCCTTCCATCCAGACTTGCAATATTGAAGCTATTAACGGCGAAGGGAGCCTGGACCCCCAACTCCGAACACCAAACCCTTCTCGCACGAAACTCCAGGGCTGCCTTGCGCCTCCAGGTCCATATTCTCGATCCAGTGCACCATTTTCTCGGCCAGAAAACGATTTTTTCTAGGGTTTGAAACAAGATACCGTGATGACCACAGCGATGCGATGCCAATGTCAGCTCAACTCCAAGAGTCATCGACGATCCAGAGCCCGATCTGCGTCAGACTCGTGCTTCCAATCCGTGACTTCTCCTGCGCGAGCTTGAACCTCTTCTGTCACGAAGACCTACTTCACCAAGCATTCGACAGCAATTTACCCAATGAATCCCAATAACTACGACGATGTGAGGGGTATACCACTAATCATATGTGTGGACGAGAAGGTCAAGCGGGCCTTCAAGAAACGCCCTCGCACGCCTTGCTTCGGATCTAGATGACATCCAATGGTGTATCAGTAGCGGATGTTTAGGACTGTGTGATAGAACAGTCGCATTACATTGACCCACATGATTGAGCTCACGATCGCTTCAGGATATTCAGTTATGGCAACCAGACTGTCGAAATTTGTCTAAACGTGACATCACCCCATGTAGCCTGTGCATGCAAAGACCGTTCGTCCGGTCCAAGTCTTCTAGCAGATGGCTTACGCTTGGAATGCGCAACATCAAGGAAAGCACCTGACAACTTACGAGGATTTCGCCCCCGTCTCTCTTTCAGGGATAGCCGCTTAGGACCCTGCTCTCAGGTTCTTCGTCACTGTGGACCAAATCTATTGAAAACTGTTGTCTTCGTGCCAGCGGCTCGAGTGGCCCTGCCGCCGCTGCGGAACCCCGAGGCGTTAATTCAGGCGAGCCACCGTCCAGAAGGCACATTTCAACGGCCAGACTCCGTTGTAGGTACCATGAGAAGCGCCACCAGGGTACGCGTGGACATCCTCACAGCTTCCAGTTCTGATTCTGGTTTTCGCTCTCATTTCGCGACGAGCGCTGAGGGAGGCACCAGAATCACGCTCAGTCCGTGGGCTCTCGCCTGCGGCTTCATGAGTGGAGAAAACGAACACCCTTTGAGTCTCTCCCTCTCTCTCTCTCTGCCGCTCGCTCTCTCTCCCTTGCAGGCTTGACTCTCCGCCTCTTTCCCGGATTGGCATACAAGACTTCGAATGTAGATTACATGTGCTCTTGCTGGGTAGTTTTCGCAAAGGGATCTCCTCGTTCTGCTCAGGAGGCGGGTCACAGCAACATGAGCATTCGGCAGCAGACACTATGCTCATGCGGTCTCGTGAGCTTTGTCCTCACAGAACAATAGGAACCAGAAACTCTCTGGAGAAGAACACATGAATTGCGGCCAACTTCTCGATTGGGGCCAATATTATCAGGATAGCAGCATAATCTGTTCAAGGCTCTTGTAGCCTGCAGCACCTCGTGCCGACGACTCCCCGTTTCAACTTCAACAGCATGTGCCGCTACTGCAGCCTTGTCCCTTCGCTGCAACCCTCGTTTAATGTACCCACTATGGGCCATAGCCGAAACGTGTGCCTCGTGGAGGAAGTCCGTCAGCAGTTTTCTCGGAATCGTGACGAGGGAAGCATTGTCCTCGTGCTGTACAAGGAATGGCTGAACTGAGTGCGTCCACAAGGCATTAGAGAGGGAGCAGATGCTGGGACTACCGTTTACACGCGGGGTCGCTGTAGAAGATTTGCACTAGGATCTGCATTATGCGGCGATGCCTTGCCTTGTAGAAGGGATCCGGCCTGAAGTCGACACCGAAAGGCGTTGATGCCGCAAAAGAACGCCGACTTAGGGCTCCCACACCGTGATGATGTCCAGGTCGGCATTGTGGGAAGCGTAGACAGCCTGATCGTGGTCTTTGCTTTAAAGCGGGGGGCACGGTCAATCTCTGAGTTTCTACGTTCCGTCTTGAAATGCATCTGCCATGCGGACACACTTCCAGCAATGTGGCTCCACCAAGTTTTTGGGAGGCTCCCGCCTGGTCTAGTGGGCCGAGGGCGTCTGCGAAGGCTGCCCAGGTGATCGGCAGTCGGACCTGAGGCCGCGACAGTCCTCTCTAAGCCACATCTATGGATGTCGCGAGACCGGCCCGGTTCTACTCTTTCAGCTTAGACTTTCCGATTTCCAGTTCTGCCTTCTCTCCAACGAACCTTCCCTTCTTTGTCTGCCTGTCTTGCTTCGCTGGGTAAGAGCAGAAACTGGTGGCGAATCTGCTAGCCCTGCTCTGCCTTGTGACATGAATCCGTCAAACGGCAGGAATGCACAAGGGTCAGCTCCTTGGAGCGGACACAGGGGTGCAGCCTGGTCACGAGAGTCTCCTCATGTCCCTTCTGGCTACGTGTTCCGTTGCCACAAGCCGAAGCGACTCAACTTACCGGATGGGGTGGTTGGCTGTACCTCCATGACTTTCGCAGGCTTGCCCCGCCAACCCGCCCTGTCTCCCACGGCGAATCCGTCCGAGACAGGTGTTCTGCGATCGGAGGCGGCAAAGCTATGGGCCCTGAGCAGACGGCACGTCGATGCAGAAAAACAAGCCTGCAATCAATGCAACCGGAGAGCTGTTCGCAGGCCCGCGCTCGCGATCTCTTGCAGGTCCTGGAACTAGGGGGGTTGTTTGGAGAGTCTCCTCTATAGAGACAAGCCTCCTCAAAGCCGGATGGGTTTCAAACACAGCAAACGGCTCAGCCCCGCATTGGGGCCGCAGACTTAGTACTGAGAAATCAATACCATGCAGGCATTCTAAAGCAAAGCCCCTGCCTCGGGTGTAACGAAGTGCGTGCGGTATTCGGATATGGCTTGGATTGCCTGAAGTTATAGGCAAGAACTTTGTAAAGAAACAGCGATGTCAGGTCCAGCAGCGTAAGGAATCAGTACACTACCAGACATCTTTAAGCGGTCTCAGCCGCAGTGGAGTAAAAGAAATCGCTTGGCAAGAAGCGCTGACAGGGGGCATAAGCCTGACCGTGATCGTTGATGAGCTGTCGCGTGAGCAATCCTTCCTCGGCTCTGGGCATCCCTATGGACAGAACCTGATGCAGCTTGCAACGGCTCACCATGGCTCACCTGAGGTCTGCCTTGACTTGAGTGACTTGAACACATGCTCCAAAGCAGCTCGCAACGTTGTTGCCCCTGTTGCCAGCAACCATGCTCCGAGAAACCGAATCACCCTGGCCACCCGTGAGGCACGTCTTGCCATGCATCGGATGTCCACGGACTGTTCATCAAAGGTATTCGCGGAGGCAACGCATACCTGAAGAAGAGCCGCTGCAGGACAGGGGTACTAGTATCCAAGGAGCCTTCGCTGCGTGCCGCAGAACCCCCGCCACTAACACCCAATCATCAAGCTGCGACCTTCACAACGACTTGCTTGGATCGCAAGTCTCAGGAAATACCTCACTGAATCCGAACACATGAGCATTTTGCAGAGAGGTGCCCTTGGCCCTGCTCGTGGGCACTGGAGACAAGCCCTTGGAGAGGCTTCTGGGCAACGCTTCTGTGTGGCGGGGATGCGCTATCACACGTTTGAGCACAGGCTACAGCATCCGATTCCGATGTAGAAGTTAAGCTGGAGCAATGTTGATCTCCCGATCTCCCGACTCCCAATCTATGGGCACTTCACATCACCCTGAAAGGGCACCACAAAGATGGAACACAGGGATTGAAGCTACCCGCTACCCGCAACCCTCAAGCCTTGGTAAGAAGTTGCGAGAAACAGTCCTGATGCCCACAAGGCCAAGCGTCTGCCTTTGCCCATGGAAAAGAACCAGTCCTGCAAGGAAGCACACCAAAGAAGAGCACTGCAACACGAACGCGAGAACGCGAGACATGCGCTGCTTTACTCCACTCTCTCCGCGGCTTTCCTCCAGGCAAAGCCATCCACCGAGGCTCACTCCGCCCAGGCCCTTCAAACTCGCCTCGGTCGGCTGCCACAAACGCTGTCCCGTCTTTCGCCGTCCCGTCCCCACCTGCGAGGCGTTCTGCAGCTCATAGGCCTGTCTCATGCCCGCAGACAGAAACTTCTGAGCGCGAACATCCCCTTCCCGCAGGCATAGAAACTCATCACGCAACAGCACTTCGTTGCAGAAAACATCCGGCCGCCTGCGTCATGCGGGCCCCTGCAAAGACTCTGAAGTTGGGGATGACATGGGACGGCAAGACTGTCTGCTTTCGAGCGGGCGCTTCAGCCGTTCAATCTCCTAGCTTCACAGCACCGCTCGACCCAGCACCGAAACTTCCGAGATCCCCGCTCTCCGGACGAAGCCCAGCACCCCTGATCGAGGCATTGAACTTTATCGGAAGTGCAGCTACCGCCGGTCTCAGGATCATTGAAAAATGAAGGTCCCAGGCCCTAGATTGCTTGATAGTCACAGGCAGCCGTGAGCGACTTCAACATGCTGGGAACGTGGCAATGGCCGTGCCGAACAACGCTGCCGATTGCGCCACAATAACGCTAGCCCTCAACCGCCTTGATGCGGGGCCGACTGCAAAGCACACGACCTGGGCACCAGGAAATCATCAGCCGTCGCAAAATTCAAGCATGTAGATTGATACTCCGACTCTTCGAAACAGCTGCCAAAAATCGCGTGCACCAGGATGCAACGTTTCAAGCCGTGGCACGGGTCGAAAACCGTATACAGGAGCTTGTGGTGAAACAACGGCCAGCCTGCCCATTAGAGCCCCCGGCAGCCACCACGACCAGCACCGCTGCCCAAAAACACCAGCGCACAGCAGGAACTGCCTCAGGAAAGGCGGAACCCAACTAGCAAAGAATTCCTGCATGTGCCAAGCGGTTACAAGTTCGGGATGTGTATTGGAGGGCGGTCGTCAGACGCAATGGCATCTAGCTTTTGCTGCCTGTTACTCCTGAGTGCGTGATTGGATGTCATCCCACCGGTGAAGTCCACAGTCTTCGATTGTTCTACCCGGTTTCTACCCTGAACTTCGAACGAGCTCCGGGCTCTGGGCTGTGCCTCACTGCACTCGCCTCGCGCAGATGGGATTGGGGGCTACTGTAAGGACACACACTGCTCGAGAGAACACCTAGACCAAGACCTGCCTACATTGCTGTAGAAAAGGGAACTGGCAAGTTGGCATCGACATCCGCGAATGCTACATGCTGCAGAACATGACAATCAGAGGGCAGGTTGCCTTGCAGCAGCTGCTCGGCCTCAACCACGCCACGGCAACACCAAACGTCAGCAACAACTCTGACCTGGGTTCCATTCCCTCGGACTGTTCCTTCATCAGGTCATGAACCGCCAAGCTCTCCAAGATAGTTCGCGATGAACCCCTCACTTCCTGAGGGTGCGAAATGCACCGGTCTGCGAAGAGAGTGATGTATAAGGTAAACAAAATAGCCACTTGACCGCTTAGTCAAACTGTGCGAGCTACGCAATGCTAGATGCCTACAAATGACTTTGTTTGTGACTGACTTGGAAATCACGACTGGGGCACAGCACACCAAAAACAAAGCGCAAAAGTTTGCCTCGTCAGCCGTGCGCGCTGCCGTGCCTGCGCACGAGACCTTAGAAGCGTGGGCATGGCCGACCGAGGCAGGACACTCAAGCGGCCACGGCCACTTCATGGCAACTGCTCACCTTGGGCTCTGGCAGCACCAGCACCGTCTTGGAGGAAGGGATTTGTCGGCATTGCTGACCGCACGGCTGGCATCGCGCCCGCGAGATGTATAGGTTCAGAGTCTTAACGATGCCTTTCTGTAATAGTTGTGCTTTGTATCTGCAACTCCTCAACACCTTGGAAGCTGATAGGGTGACATCGCACGAAGCCTGTGACAAGCTATTGTTCAGCGACCTCTTGATGCCTCGCTGGTTGACTGCAGTCCTGTGGTGCTGCAGCGTCACAAGCCAGGGCATATCAAATTAGATCGGGCTGCCCTGAACCCGAACCCTCAAGACCAAACCATGCTTGGCCGCGACAGGAAAGGTTCGGGGGCACAAGAGCACAGGCCTGTCGACGCCTGTCGACTGTCGACCTTGGCCTTCAATCCTTCGGGATCTGCAAAACCGCCCGCAGCGCGCATGTTTTCGCTTGTCTGCATGTCAACATTAGACTGCGTGAGCCGGCTCTTGGGTGCTGGCCTCCTTCCGACGTGCGAACCACCGCATGCAAAGGGCAAGGAGATGCAGAGATGCATCATGAAAGTGGCTAAGACATGAGGGTTCAGTTTGGAAGGAATCGAAGGTCAGTCGGTCGGAAGCGGCTTCGGCTCCAAAAGCTGCGCTAGAGATTCGGTGGATTTGGGTTTAGGGTTTCGGGATGCTTTCGAGGAGCGAGCGCCGAGGGACTCAAACGCAAACTCAGTCGAAAGCTGCCCATGCGAAAGCCGGCCTCAATTGAAGTCGCTAAGTTATGCTGGAGCACATGCACACAAGAGATCACAAAAGGGAGAGAGACAGAGACAGATAATGTCAAGTCAGCACTGCCAAAACAGACGTGCTGCCAGGTACTTGCAGCTTGCAGATTGATATGGACTTGGCGAAATGGTCAGCTTCCTGAAGGCCAGACTTTTGGCCGTGTCGGGTTGCCTTTCCAGTTTGGGAAGCGCTAACGCGGCTCTCTCGGGGCGCTTGTACGAGTACCTGCCTTGGGCGAGCCCTCAGGTGAGAGCACGGAGCTCCACGGGTCGGCCGGCGCCGGCGCTGGCGAGCAGAGGCTAGGAGAAACCAGTTGGGGAGCTTCCTAAAGACAACTCGCCGTCATCTACATTCTACATGAAACTACAAACGGTTCCACTCTGCTCTGCTCCGAAAAGACCGCACCTTTGCTCCGGTCCTCCGCAGGCCACCTGGGAGCCTGCACGGTCTGGATGCCCTGCCACGGTTTTGAAAGCTTTGCCCTTCCTTCCAACATAATCTATGCACTCTTTGCACTCTTGGGGGGCCGGAGCTGCGTTCATGAGAGCAGGGCAGCGCCTGGGAAGTGGTCACCGGCCACGGTGCTCTGCCTTCCGGTTGCTTCGGCTCAGGCATAGAGGCAGGACAGGTACCGATCTGCTGAGTTGGGTCCTTGGGACTGGGTCGAATGTCTTTCTGAAGTTCCCAGACGGTTGCCGCGGGCTGTGTATTTCAGAAACTACAGTGTCCTTCATGCAAGTTCTCGAATCCTTCAAGTTCAATCAGCATCTCCCGCAAAGGCCAGTATCCAAGTTTCGAGCCGGGGCTGCCCGGGTCAGCGTCGCTGTTTCGAGGACCTGAGCTTGGGGTTTCTCGCTGCGGTTTTGCGAACACCCGTGCGGCAGTGCTTTTGTGGCCGGCTTTCTGTTAGCTTCTCTCTGGCCCACGGCAGGTGCCAGAAACACAATGAATGAATGCTAAGCACTCAACCACTGGCCCTCTAACTCGACAGAACAGGCAATCCTATCAAACCAATGCTAAGCAGTTTTTCCAAGTTGCTTCCAGCAGGGGTGTTTGTCCAGGGTGAGGCGCAGGGCCTCGGAACTCTGCCACTCTGCCCACCATGCGATCGGATGCAAATGCTGTCTGAGGTCGAGTCCAGCTGGCCACCATTTCGGAAGCTGCCTGGGCTAGGCATGACATGCATGTTGATGCCAGCAACGCGAGACGAAAACGGCGAATCGCCTTGGCAAAACGCATGCAAGAACCACTCTGCGGCTCGACTCAGCTACCCACCGCCTTTGGACTGCCAACCTCAGAGCAGCTCGGCACTCTTGTGACTCTTCTGAGGTGTGGAGCAGACCATTCAAACATGGCGTGCTGATGCGAATTCAACAGGCATCACTTTGGCTTTTGTGTGGTGTCTTTGCATCATGGCAGCAGAAATACACGCTGGGCAACTCTCAATGGACCCGTTGACTTGAAGCATATCGTCTTCTGTGAATAGCTCTAGCAGTCTTGCAGTGCCCATTCTAGTATTCCAGTATTGAACCCCCGCGGGGGAGGGAAGCAGGCAGGTAGGCGGGCAAACAGGTATGCCTCACGTATGGATGCATGCACGTGTGTATCGTTGCACATGTGTGAACTGCTGGCCAGGTAGATAGGTCGCTAAATAGATCGATAGATTTGTAGAGAAATCGATGATGGGTAGACAGATAGATTCAGATAGATTCCGATACATAGAAAGATTAGACAGGCGTAAATTTTTGTAAAGCAGCCAGAAACTACGGGCACACACACAAGAATGAGAGAGTCTCCACTCGTCCGTGGCATGGACGTTTCAACAAAGCCCGTCGTCAAAATATGCTGGGTTAATGTGGCGAGTGAGGGAGTGTCATAGCGCCGTCGGGGGCTCGAGCACTGACTGTGGCTCGATGACACACTCGAGCACGTGTGACCACTCGGACATAAAACCCAGATCAAGCAGTCGGCGCGCAGGAGTCTAGGTGTGAGGCATTTGGCCAAGCGGAAGCCGACATCTTCGGACCTTTGGTGGTTGCGACAGCATTCTTGACTCAGTGTCGGTGGAATCCCCATGTCACGCATCCCGCAGAAAACCTGCATGCGAAAATCAGGGCTCGAGCTGTCCGGAGCCGGTTCTCCACTCAGCCTCCACGGTTGGAGGAGCTGCAAACTTGCCTAAATCTCCTAGCGCCCAGCGCCATGTCGCGCCTCCGTCTTGAAGGGCTGGCGGGGCTCGGATCCCAGACAGACCGAGACCTGAGCCGAGGCCAGGCGGGGCCTAAAACACAAAGCAGGCAACGGCCAGGGCGCACAGGCACAGACGGCACTTTTGCTTCCGGCGTCGGGCGACGTCCAAGCATGGCATAATAAAGCCAGGACTTTTAGGGGGGAGTTGTGTGTGTCATGCTCAACGTGGCGTTGTGAAGGTCAAGACATGCGCGGCCCGTGCCAGCTAGATTCTGATGGGCATTTGTGATTTCGGTCTTGATGAGGCGCCGTCTTACAAGCATTGCCTTCCATATCCATTCGGACTGTGCACCCGAATCAAAGAAGATCCGAAGATAAATGAGACACGTGTCATCGGACATAGCACAATCACGCTCCTGAACAGATATGCCATGCTTGAAAATCGAACCGTGAAAGCCTAGCGGGCGAACTGTACATCTCGCTGGCGGCACATGAGAAGCAGTTGATTTCCCAGTTGTCTGGCGCCTGGCCTCTGCGGATTGAGACACTCGGTTTCCGGGTCCTGTCTTGCTTACAGAGTGTGGGACCTTCGTGACGGATACGCAAGCAACGAAGCTTGTAATGGTTTCCACAGGCACCAGGTCTAGGCGACAAAATTCCAGATGTTTTGCCTGGTTGATGGCCTCGTGAAGCGGCACAGAACAGCAACGCAGACTACAATCGCCATCAGCATTAGCACGCCTGCAGTCTGCATGATGGGCAGGTCTAGTGCGTTCAGCAGTGGCGTGAGGGATGCCGACAACCTTGGATGCGTTGGGATGCGTTGAGATCTAGGAACCTCAACGTCTCACGGCTCAAACCTGAGAAGCAGACGTCGGACCTTGAACGTTGAAGCAGCTACAGGCCAGAACCCTTCAGCTTGCGGCCAAGAATCACGAAGGGTACTGCAAAAGCAGTCGGAAGCAAGCCGGCCCGCTGGTAAGAGCTGTCGAAGCCTTCCTCAGGCTGCTGAAGGCTCTCTGAAGGCTGAAAGATGCTGAAAGACGGGCCAAGGCTCCGAACTCCCGGCACCGCCCAGACAGCCCACGTTGGGTAGCCAGGCCCAGACATCGTAAAAGAAGAGCGCTGCCAGGGCCACCAGGCTGGCCACAGCAATCGTTACAGGTGCGGTCTGACTTGATGATACGAAATACCCAGAAAGGCATCCTCCGACCAACATGGTGGGCAGCGCACCCCCGAGGAGCAGCAGGAAGTTACAAAAAAAGAAGGGTGGAAGCCAGAATGCCAATCCACTAGTGAAGCCCGAGTCGTTGAATCGTGTGGTGGCCACCGCGAAGAAATTACAGAAGGCGCACAGCATGATAATCCAAGCTTTATGTGCGTGTTCAGCAACTGTCCAGGGTGTCACGAAGGCATAGACAAGGCCTGCAAGCCACATCAAGAAGGCGGCATTCGTAGACACCATGTCGACGTGGTAACCTGCGAGCAACGTCTTGAGCGTGAAGCGTCTCAACTGCTGATGCCTTAAAAGTGTGGAAAGCTTGCAACCCCAAGCGGAAGCCTGCACAGACGTAACCGGCCACAAAGTGAGCGAAGCTGGAAGCGGTGCCCTTTCCGAAGACGATGGGGCGATGCTGCCGCTGCGGCATCTTTGAAACAGCGTGATACCAACAAGGACCGCAGCTTGGACCGATATGCGGCTGAGGGTACGAGCAGAAAACGGTTGCAACTCCTGGGCTACATTCACCAAGCTGCATCTCCTGCTCCGGCCAGGCGGACACCTGCCAGCGAAAGGTGTGGGACTGCGAAGCTTCCGGTCGCATCTACACATTCCCTCTACGAACACGAATGCGACGTCAAACCCTGCTCTCAAAGCACGGCCTCGACTGAGTCGAGTGGCCACCTCGCGGGAGACTCGGCCGTGAGGCCAAGGCTAAGGCGCCCAATCAGCTACCCATGAGACCTCTGAGGTGCTGGCCCAGCATCTGTGCGTTCCGAGGCAACGCCACCTGTTAAGGCTTAGCTTGCGCTAGGGATCCCCGTGCCCGCTGACAACGGCCTCTTCCTGCCCAGTCCGGTGGCTTGACAACGACGTTTGGAGCCTTCGTGGAAGCTGCGAGAGCTATTTGTCAAGCACAACCAGAGTGACCAAACTCTGTGGTCTCACTTCTCTGATTGGATTTGCTCACCCCGGAGTCCCGACAACCTCCCCACGCTCCACCGCCTTGACCGGCGACTGGGAACCAGTGGAGGGTTCGTGCCTCACAGACCGGACGAGGCGAGGGCACTGAATGTGATCGCTCTGAAATGTCTGGTACGAATCGTGACTTGTTGAGTTTTCAGAAGCTTCCGTTCTGGTCCTATCACGTCCTCGTCTCTTGCAGATCGTTTCCAGCCCGTGGGCCACACCGAAATCGTAACACAACCTCATCACCGAAGCGGAAGGAGGTTCAAGCTGAGATTTTGAAAAAGGTGCGAGGGCATGTTGCCCGATGAATTGCAGAAAACCGAAGAACCGACCACGCCAGAAACCATCTCGGAGCATGCAAGGTCCGTGCGTTGGGCTGCTCCATGCCTTGGTTTCCAACGTCAGTCATCGGACTGCGTGGACTTTTTGTGCTACTGCAAGCGGAGCATTCGGGGTTCAACAGCGCCTCATCCTTGCAAGCGAGCCTACCACGGAAAGGTCTAACAGACCGCTGCCCAGGGGCTGACCAGGGATCCGGTGGAATTGATGCACTCACAGGATCCGGTGCAACCTCCATGGGCCGTGTCCGTTCCTTCCAAGACATCTCTGTTTCCAAGATGGGCCTCACTATCTCCAGCCGCCTACAGCTTGGCACACTCATGCTGCAAGCTACTCTTCTCAATCCTCAGAATCCTTCCGGACGGATGACTTGCGAACTAGACCGACAACTCCTCACTACTCTTGACGTTCGATGTGGCTCGAAAATGCTTAAGCAGTTCGACGAGAGCTGTGCAAGACGAGAAACTCAACTATATCGGCTTGCATGCGTTGGCGGAGTGGTTTCAGACACCGTCTCTCAACAAACGTACGGATACAGCAATGGCTGAGACTGCGGCAAACAAGTCGCCCGTCAACACAAGTGGACGGATTTTGCGCGGCTGGTCGTGCCATTTTGCGACATCGTGGCTTGAGAAAGGAAGGGGAAAAGGTAGGGGACGGAGGGAGGGACGGAGGGAGGGAGGGAGGGAGGGAGGGAGGGAGGAGGGAAGGGAGGAAAAGTGCTCCAGCCTCCTCGAAGTGGGCCCAGGCACCGCGCCTCAGAAGCAAGCAGAAAAGCAGTCCCACTCGAAGCGCAATTTGTCTGATAGCCGAGTGCAGAACCCCGGCGCTTCCGAGCGACTGGGCGATGCTGAACCCGCCGACGAAGGCTCCTGACACACTCGACATTCCGATAGCCCCAAAGCCAGCCCAGCGTTTCCGGCTCTGCCTGGTGGAAGCCATCAAAGTTGGCCCACTGAAGCCTCGAGGATGCTGCGAACCGATTGAAAAACTTTACACAGGGTCGCTTGGTTTAAGTATGCACGGCAGAGGCTTGCATGATTCTTGTAAATTCAAGCCTGGCTTGCCTTAACCAGGCTGTGATCCTATCCCTGACAGCCCCGCATTGCCAGCTGCTCAGCGCTTGGCTCGGACGACACCGCAGCCTGGGACTTAAAATGGGATGCAGTCGCATTGAATAATGTGCTTCATTCAACTTCGAGCCTGCCTATTCTTCATCCGACTACGTCTTACGAGGACACGGGGTCGTACGTTTTTTAATGTCTGCACAGCTTGACAAGCTGTTGCTTGCGTGGTTGCTGCATGGCCACCAACTGCAGGTTGCGGTGAAGAAAGTCAAAATCATGTTTTGAGGCCTTTGTAGAATTCTGACTGCGCCTCACGCAGTCAAAAACCCAAGCCTCCATGCAGCTCAGAAAGCATTGCGAAAGCAAGATTTTGCTAAAGCCGAGGACTTCACAGGCCATCCCTCATCGGGCAGTGTTTCTGCCTGGCGGCTCTCGAAACCTTCTTGAGGCCATGTGCTTTGGACAAGAGGGATGGAAGATGACACCTGTGACCGGGCAACCGGGTACATTGATGCTGCAGCTTAACTGGTCAGCGGAGTCCACAAGCTAATCTGAGCGCCAGAGATATCTCTGCAAAGTTAGAGGTCAAACTTCAGTCCTGTGTATATGCTTCCAATCGAGTGATTCCAAAACCTTCCAGTTCAACGGGGCCAAAAGTTCAATGTTCTGCCTATCGGATGTTTTCGGTTTGGCTAGTGCCCGTTCGCAATGCGGATTCAGGGTTCAAAAGTCAGAGGCCGCGGAGGAGTCAAGCACAGGGCCAAGACTAAACGAACTGACATACATAACCCGCACAGTGTTTCGCAGCTCGGCCGATGCTCACGAAGAACTTGCAATCATCTTCCGGCCATGCCTGTGCCTTCTTCTTGGAGGTCTGCCGGTGCTTGTGCGGTTTAGACCTGGCAGACCAGGAGTGGGAAAGTCTTCATTCACACATCGTTGTGGCCGTCGTCGCCACCCTCGTCGACGCCGGTGTCGGCGTCGACATCGCTTTCGGCATCGGCATCGTCGTCATGTCGTACCGCTGGCATCGTTGTCGTGGTAGTGGGCGGGGAGGCGTGGCAATCGTCCTCGCATGTCGTCCGTCGTCATCACTTGTGGAGGAGGGAGCAGTGGACAAGCTGAGGCAGGCAAGCGGACTTTTTAAGGAAAAACATGCCTCCGGCCGTAGTTTTGTTGCTGATCTTGCTTCTCTTCCGGAAGAGCTTGAGCGTCGGAGCCAAATTGGGCACTGCAAAACAATCATGCTTGTTGCAATAAGGGGGATTGAAACAGTCACAGCACCCGAACATCATAGGAGCCAAGCAAGCCACTCAAAAAGAATCATGCGCATCATTGATGCTACGACGGGCCGGCGCGGCGAGCATCACCAGCATCATTGGCGCCCGGCTGGGCCCGGGAGGCGAGCATCATGAGCATCATTGGCGGCTCGTTTCCCCATTACAGGGCAAGCCGAAACACTCACCTTTCATGCCCCAAAAATGAGGGGGTCTCGTCAGGCGGGAAAATGCAACCAGGTGCAGTCTGGCTTGGGAAACCGGCATCGTTTGACCAGATTTTGGGGCTTCCCCACACCCCTTGTTGCAACCTCTGGTTGATTAAGAAACTCCGCTAACCCCGGAGGCTGCTTTCGTGATCAACATCAGCGGCATCAGCAGCTGCATCGCCCTGACGTTTTCCCATCCTGCCAGCCTCTGCATCTTGCGCATCATGATCCACCATCGTCATGCTCAGCAGCAACCACCACCATCAGTCACCATCACCATCAAAACAACAACACCACCACCAACACCACCACCANNCAACAACAACAACAACAAAGCAGAACGTACGTTTTGCCGCCGTGTCGTTTTTGTTTGGACATTTTTGGTCGAAAGCCGGATAATCTCGATGTTTGTGTAGTTTTCGTGAGCAGGACGATGTTTAGCAGCATGTATTTGTCCAAGTTCTTTGTTCTGTATTGTTGGTGAGGTTTTTGCGAACGTGTCAAAAATACCGTGTTTTTCTTTGTTTCTGGTGCTTGAAATGTGGATTCATTTTGAAAGTCTTTGTTTGGAGAGCCCAGAAAACGCATTGGTGGCGATTCAATTGTAAGGTATCAACCAGGGTAACAGTGAGCAACTAGTGGCGCTTCACAAGTAACGTAACAACAGGCCCAGAGGGAGCAACATTGTCAGTTTCATTGTTGTCAATGTTATCACCGTAGGTCTGGTCATCGCCATTGTTATCTTCGGCAGTAACAATCAACATAGGCAACAGAACATCAACATCATCAACATCAGAATCATCATCTGAATCCAGCGAGAAACACAACAAAAAAATCCGCATTCGCATGGAGATCATCATCCCCCCCACATCCGCCCCCGCCCCCTCCCCACCAATGCACAACAAGAGAAACACAACCCAAAAATGCGCACTCGCATGGACGTCATCACCCCCCCCCCCCACCAATGCACATCAAGAGAAACACAACCCAAAAATCCGCAGTCGCATGGACGTCGTCATCCCCCCACCCCCCCCCCACCAGTGCAAACAAGAGAAACACAAACTAAAAGCCGCATTCGCATGGACGTCATCATCCCCACCCATCCACCCCCTCCCCAATTCTGCACGAAGGTCAAATACACATGGAAGTCCAAGCTGGCATGTGCGAACAGTCGAGGGTCGGCACAGTGCTGACCGGAAATATTACGACCACGCAGGATAAACCAATGCGAAATGCACAACATATAGGAAAACACCGCCAAAAAACGATGCAAAACGGACAGCTCACATTTTGTGTGCACCGTGCAGCCCGGAAACTACCTATTGTTTTGCGAAAACACCGCAAAAACCGATGCGAAACAAAAACGCAAAAAAACTCCGTAGCAACAATGTGCCAAAACTCGAGTTTTAGCATATGCCAGGTCCTGAAATCGCTCCACCACGCGCGGCGACAGACGCAAGTGCTGCCAACAACATCATCAACAACAACAACAGTTATTTTACTTCAAACATCCCCCACCGTACAGATAATGCATTTGGGAGGCCACACCATTGACTGGCGTTGCGGTGGTGGGGTCCCCGGTCAGGCAACAAAACACAAGTGTTCGATTCAGGTCATTCGACGACCCATGGGGTCACACCACCGACTGGCGATATGGACGTGGGGTCTCCGTACACGTAACAAAACACGTGCTCGATTCAGGTCGGTGGACGATCCATGGGGTCACACCAATGACCGGCGTTACGGACGTGGGGTCCCCGTACACGTAGAAAAAACACGAGTGTTCGATTCAGGTTCTTCGACGATCCATGGGGTCACACCACTAACTGGCGTTACGGTCGTGCGGTCCGCGTACACGTAACAACACACGAGTGTTCGATTCAGGTCAGTATCCATGAGGTCACACCACTGACTGGCGTTGCGGTCGTGGGGTCCCCGTACACGGAACAAAACACGAGTGTTCGATTCAGGTCATTCGACGACCCATGCATGGGGTCACACCACTGACTGGAATTACAGACGTGGGTCCCCGTACACGTACCAAAATACGTGTTCGATTCAGGACAGTCGACGATCCACAGGGGCATACCACTGACTGGCGATCATAAGCTCTGTGCCCCCTGCATTAAAAAAACCCTAAAACCCTAAACCCTAAACCCTGAACCCCAAACCCAAAACCCTGAACCCTAAACCCTAAACCCTGAACCTTAAACCCCCCAAACCCTAAACCCTGAACCTTAAAACCTATGGTCTGAACCCTAAGAACCCTGAACCCATGACCCTAGTTTCTAAACCAGGAGCCGAAAGGGTCCAAAGTACCCAATATACGGGACTTAACAATGAGAATGGGGTCGATGGGGGTCTTTTATAGTATAATCATAAAAGGAACCCCCCAAAATTGTGCTGGTAATTATTAAGGACCCCATGCCCCAAACCCTGCTTCTTAAGCCAGTCCCCGGGTTAGGCACTCCAGACAGTCTCACGGTAGTCTTTGCGGTTGGGCACTCTAGGCAGTCTCACGGTAGTCTCTGATTTGCAAGGGAGTCTCACGGTAGTCTCCGGGGTTGGGCACTCCACAGAGTCTCACGGTAGTCTCTGGGGGGTGGGCCATGTAGGAGGTCTCTGGAGGGCGAGGGGCGGACGAGGAGCAGGCGGGAGTAATAGCTGACTTTAGAATCTGACAACTCCACACCCAGGGTGGGGAGCAACGACAACGGCAACAACAACAACAGCAGCAGCGACAACAACAGTAGCAGCAGCATCGCCATCATCGTCATCCTCAGCTTCTCTTTCTTCTGCTTCGTCATCATCACCATTGTCGCAATCACCACCACGGTTGAAAATCTTACTCCCTGTTCTGGTCACCATCGTCATTACCACCGCGCGTTCGCACATGTGCAGAAGAGTCCTCATCGACCGTGTTGGATATTTCGCCCTCTTGTGCCACTATGCTGGATCCAACAAGAACTCCTATGTGCGTGTCAAGGATACACCTGTACACAACAATCCACTGCGGAAACCTGATCCCGACCTCTTCCGTTCACTGTCGCCGGCCAGGGCATCGCTGCCTCAAAAGGCTTTTAATTGCTGGTGCTGGCGGTGAAGCCGCTTGGCAGTCGCCGAAGGGAAGGGCGTTCGCACGAAGTCGCTCTCAGGCCGCCGCCAGCGCTGGGCGACTGCGGCTCTCGGCAGGACTGCAAGTACGAGTCTTTCAGAATCCACGTTCAACGCCAGTGCCCCGCGAGGCCTTGCCGGGCTCGTAGAGCCGGCGAAACTTCTCCGACTTCTCGAGGACGGCTTTGGGCCTCAAGCAGGTGCGCACGCTTACAAAAGCGGCCTCAAAGCTAAGAACCGGTGCCAAGGCCAGGGCGGAGTTACCTCTGCCTCATCGAAGCAGACCAGCAGCGACAGGAGCGATGCGGCGTCCGGGCGATGGGAGGGATCCTCATGCCAGGCTGCAGGCATGTCACTCTCTGCTCGAGTCATGTTTTGGCCTTCGGGAGTGCACAATCAAGGGTTGCACGATTAGCTCAGCCAAGTACAGCAGAACGGCGACAAAGCAGTCTTCGGCAAGCCCTTGCATCGAGTTTGGCCTATGCCTTCATACGGCTTTGGCGCTTACGGTAATCAATAGACAGGTCACATTTCGGAGCAAGTTGACACACAAAGCAAGAGCTCAAAATCTACGCAAAAGCAACCTCACATCGTCAATTTTACCGAGCGAACACCCTGCATACGGACCCGACACTGTCCCTCGCCAGGAGCCAGTGTGTAAGATCCCGCAGCTTCTCGGAATGCTCCGGCGTAGACCTGGGCTTCCCAGTAAGAACCCCAAGGAAGTCCAAGTCAGCAGCACTTCTCCACAGACTTTGTTACAAGGGCACCACCACAAACAGATGCTGTGTTCATGTCAGAACACTGGTTTTTGCCGCATTTTAGCCCCTTCCAAAAGCTCTGCCTGTGCCTGGCCATCTCAGAGATAGGAGAGATTCTTCATGTGAGGGCCCGGCGGCCAGGGATAGCGAGCATTGGCAATGGCCAGGGGCGACTCGTCTTGGAACGGATGCCTGAATCTGCTCATAACGTCTCGCAGCATACACTTCATGCTGCGCACGTTCATACTGCATAAATTCTGGATTCTAGGAGCTTCTGGCATGAGGCACGAAGCAAGAACGGCCACGTAAGCAAAGCAGAAGCGCCTGTAAAACATCAAGGTGTACAGGATGCAGCCGATCATCCACACGTCGACCTTTTCTGAGATCGGAAACCTCAGTAGAGACAATCGTATAGTTGAAGCCCTTCAAGTCCAGTCCCGAGGGGTGCCCCAACGATGTCTGAAAGAAGAGTCTACCCAACGACAGCTCTGGGGGAGCTACTCCGCGAAGAAGTCAACCATCTCCGGTGGCCTCAGCTCATGGCGGTGAGTCACGAGTGTTTGACTTGTGCTTGTCTTTATACAACACCGCAAATGTGGTTCTGGAATCCTGAACGTGGTGCTTGCCTCCGTGAGATTGGCCATCCGATGCTGGGGTTGGGGTCAGCATGAGCCATCCCAGAAAAAAGGAGCTTAGATGAAGCAGCGCGAGTTCGTGTTAGGCCTATGGTATCCGGCCACACACCTTGCATAGCTACACAGCAAATGCTCAGCACAACACCGATAGATCATGGTCGTATACTTGTCGATCTGCTCCTGTCTGCACTGCGGTGGGGATGGAAACTAAGGCCGCTGTACACATACCTCAGGCATGGGCCCGGAAGGATGCAGCTGTGCCACATTACCACACACCGACTACACTCACCCACGCACTGCTTCCGACAGCCTCAAGCCTCAACTGAAAAAGTCAAAAAGCGGAGCCTGTAGGGCCGACAGAGCTGGCTTGTCCAGGCTTCCCGGCTCGAGGCCTTTGTGTGCTTCTGGGTTGCTGTTTCGGCTGACACACACTCACGTAGGCCAACTTCTCTTCGAGTATGGAATCTGGCGGCACCAGCATCAGTGAGCAGCATGACATGTAGGACTGCACGGTCGAAGAGCTACTCATGATACTCACAAGCAAGCACAGTGGAGAGAGAACCAGAGAACGACAGAAGGAGAGAAACTATACGTGAACATGTGTAGAAATTCGTGCATGTAATGTTTGCAACGCCACTCAATCAAATTTGTCTGCATACCTAGATACCTATATACATACATACATACATACATACATACATACATACAGACAAACATACAGACAGACAGACAGACAGACAGACAGACAGACAGACATACATAGGTGTATGGTATCTACATATGTATGTACACACACGCTTGTATTTATGCATGTGTATACGCATATCTACATATCTGCACCTCTGTTGATCTATCTGTCTGCTATCCATCTGTTTATTTATCTATCTATCTATCTACATATATACATATGTACATACATATATATACATAGACATGTGTGTATATGTGTATGAGTGGGTGCATACTTGTACATATACATATCAATATGAATAATTTGATAAAATGTATGCATAAGGGTGATGGTTTTTTCAGGCGCCATGGTTCAACACATGGACCAAGGTTGTCAAGCGCTTGCGCTTGATTTATCGAGAACAGGTCGGGATTATCACAAAGCTGTGGGCCTTTCAGACACATGCAAATCATTTTTCAGACACATGCAACGGATTCCCTAAACCGTATGCCCTAAACCCTAAGCAAAACCGGCACATGTGAATGATAACCGCGAATCTTCTTGATAATGCACGCGCATCTCTCTGCTAAAACTGGCCTTTTCTCTCGAACCACGGCGCAATGAAAACTCAAGATGTTTACGAAAAATACAGCTCCTTGTGTGTACCTACATACATAGATACATACATACATACATACATACATACATCCATACATGCATGCATGCATGCATGCATGCATGCATACATACATACATACATACATACATACATACATACATACGCATAGACATATATGCGTATATATATACATACATATATATATATACATATATATATATATATAATTATATATATGTTATATATTTCGCAGTGCATCACACTTTTCCGAAGAGGTTGGAAGTTGTCAAGGTTGGCGCCGGCACTAAAACGCGGAAGGAAGGGCTCCCGAGGCCACTAAAGTACAGCGCCGAGGCTCTGGTCCGCGGGCCCCTCTCCATAGGAGGATCCCTCACCACACTCTTCAGCGAGGCGGTGGGGTGGAGGTGGCGAACCGAAAACTTGTCGTGAAACATTATTGGTCTGCGAAAGACACGTGCTGACACACCTTGCTATACGCTCCGTTAGGGCACAACGCATCACACTTTTCCGAAGGGGCTGGAAGGTGTCAAGGTTGGCGCCGGCACTAAAATGCCGAAAGAAGGGCTCCGAGGCACTAAAGTACAGCGCCGAGGCTCTGGTCCGCAGGCCCTTTTCCCGTAGGGGGACCCCTCACCACACTCTTCAACGCCAACCGGCCCAAGCCAACTGTCCCAGTATGGGTCAGTTGCAGAGCCAAACGAAGAGTGACCAATTGTGGAAGGGCGGCCGCGGGTGGGACCGCAAAGTTGACATTGTAAGAAACGGCGGCCCAAGTCATAGCCACATATCCAACCCGGGTAGTGAATCGACACGTAGGCTTGCAACCATTGACTGGTATAGGAGTCGGCTCGGGCGTGCCCGGTCCAGCAGAAAAGGAAGGACGTCCGCGAGGCGGCTGTCAAAGAGTTTGTTGCATACCTTTTGAGATTGTTGATCTAGTGATGTCCAGAATGATGGTAGGCGTACGGACTATCCATAAAGAAAGTGACACCATGGTTTGCCATCAAAGCGAGGTAGAGCCTGCTCCAATGCAACGCAGCCCCATGCAGCCCCCTGCCCGGTAGGGCGCGAACAAAGCGAGGAGAATCACCTCTGTTTTTTCAGACGGACATCATGTCCCAGCTGGATTCCCAAGAACCAACGGTGATCACTTCGGTTCGTACGCGCACGAGGCTCCATCAGAGAAATTCCATTTACTGGTGGTCCACGAGGCCATGGGAATCAGGCCTGATGCCATTGAGAGGCTTGCAATGCGACGGCCTATTCGGTTGAGCCTCTTGGATGATGATCTTCCCTTCTGCAGGACGAAGAGGAGCATCAAACAGTCGATGACACAGAAGTAGCGCTTTCCGAACTCATTCACGTCCCTTGCTCGCCTGCGTAGCTCCGGCAGGAAGCCATCATCTCGAGGACATTAATATGATGGGTTTCACGCCACTGGTAGGTGAGGACGTCTTTCCAGTGCCATCTAAAGGCCGGGTAGAGCCGGACGGTGACCCATCACCTCATCGCCTTTGTCGGTCAACCGCGCATCGCATCCTGTGATGTACGCGTTAGTAGCCAGGCCAGGTGCTGTGATTCCTGGGCCGAGTCCATAAGCAACGCACCGTGAGATGGCCCACTCCACCGCAACATTTTATTGAAGTCCTTTCGTGGTTCCTTGCAGCTGATGCTTCATCAGACCCTCAATACTGAGGGGTTTGCTGCCAAACGGCTCTGTGTACAGCGAGTTCAACTCGTCATATGGACCTTCGGCCATGACGATGCAGAGCTGCCAAGAGTACTCCGCAAAGTCATCTTCATCTCCATTTGGCTGGGGCCGCAGGTCATCATGACCAGCACAGTCGGGGTGATGTATCCCGGCGTGGAGGGATGGAGAGTTGTGAAAAATTTCCAGCCATTCTTCCCTTCCAAAACAACACGTCGAAAGACCATCCAGGTCCACCTCCTCCCGCACCTGAAGGTCCGGTGGGCTGGCCTGCGCATTTCTTCTTCACGCCCGCCACAGAGATTCAAGTCCTCGACGGGTCCGGGAGGATGAGAGCTTTATCCTTGAACCCAGCCTAGGCGTTGCGTCAGCGCAGCTTATCTCGCGAGGTTTGTCTCCGCGAGGGGAAGCGCCGTAAAGACCAGATCGACCACTGGAGTTGGCAGAGATAGGTGAGCTCCGTCCCGGCTCAACTCAAGGACCCCGAACACCTCCTGAGCAACCTGGAGCACTCAGTACAGAGGTCTCTGGAAAGCCACCGCAAAAGCTGCCTTCCTTGTGCAATGCCTTACACAAAGCTCGCTCATGGTGCCTTGCACCAACAGGCCTAGCCCGAGCCCCACTAGCTCGATCGTCTTCTCGTAGGAGTGTCTCATAACCTGTCTGTTCTCAAGGGTTTCTCCTCCATGGAAGGATGCGTTGAGGGTCCGACAAAGCTGCTTGGCCTCGTTCCGGCAGAACCCCAACGACTCACAAGCGGGAGCGGTCCCCTCATAATTGAAGGAGGTCGAGGGCGCCGTGGAAATCCTCAAAGGGAAGCTGGTCATCCATTGCCGCGTCGGACCGGGGGGGATCTTCGTAATGACATATGCAATGTGACGGATCGCCGTCTGGACCAGTGTAACCGCAGAGGTCCAATGGGGATCATGCGGAAAGCTGGGCGGAGCTTCAAGGTAAGAGGCCTTATCGGCCATCACGGCTGTGAGCTGGCCGATGTAAGGTAGCTTGTCTCTTCTCTCGGAAGGAGCCGCATTGCGTCATTGGTGGGGCCAAGGATCGGACTGAAGTGCTGCTCCCCGACCTGTCTCCCCGCCACGGTCTTCATCATAACCACTCCTCCGGTCCGGCCCCATTGTGATCAAGTGTCCTTTTCTGTTCTGCGGGACATCATCATATGTCACCTCCACAGATAAACCTCGCTCGTAACCGGCCTCCACTATCTGGCGCCAGTCTGCCTCAGAAGCCCTCACCTGAAAGCCCCGGTGGCGCTCGGGAAGCTCTGCCTCGGGCAGGAGATAATGCTGAGGTTCTTCCAAGGCTGCCCGAAGCTCCTCTGGGACACAGTCCTTGAGGTCTACCACCGCAGCTGGTCCCGGCCTGGGCCATGACCAAAGGACCTTATCTGCCTTGAGCTCCCTCAAGTGGTCCATGGGGTGGCCGTTGCAATGGAGGCGGCGAGCTTCTCCAAGGCCTCCTGTAGAAGATACAAGCTTCTCCTCATGGCCAATCAGCCGATCCACCTGGCCAGCAATGCGTATAACCGCCGCCTTTGGATTGGCCCCTAGCTCGACATGGGCACGCAAATGGGACTTGACCATGCCGAGCAGTAAAGGGAGTCCAAATAAACTAAAACCAAACGGACCCAGCGCAGGTCTGCCTCTCCTCACAGCACCGTGGGATTGGGCCCGGGGCAGCCTCTCCGGATTTGCGTGCTCGCGCGCACAGGTGCCCAGTGCCGAGGACCGAGTCGAGGCGAGTTTCCCACTGCTTTCACGCCCGGCTCTCTTCATTTTTTGTCCATTCCTGCGAGGAGAACGCAGAGCCCAACGGGAGTCCTTCATCATCACTATCACCTAGGTCACCCAGGTCGTAGTCCAGATAGCTTCCGTCGAGCATTCCGATGGCGTGGCAAGCTGCTCAAAAGCTCCGCTGCTGGTCGCAGGCGTGGCCGGTTGTGCCGCACCTTGTCGGCCAGGCTCTCCTCTTTTTCGTCTCGAGGCCGTCAGTCCTGGTTGCTGTCGTTCTCGCCTTTGTGACCCTCTTTCACCGTGGTCCTCTGCCCGCTTCTCAGACCGGCCTTCCCACCGCCCTTCATCCGCAGCTGCCGGGCATAAGGGTAGCTGGGACTGGGTTCCAACACCTCTGCGAAGAGGCTGAGGTCCGAGTGGCAGGGGCCTTCTGTGCCGCGGGGCCCCAAGAATTGCGCTGGGTCCCGTACTGCGCTGTTCTGACGCAGCCCGATGACCATGCGGTGTAGCGTCTGTCCGTCCACCACGTGCTGGAAGCGAACGGCTGCGATCTTGTCGAAGACATTGGCCAAGGCGTTCTTTTTCTGCTCGAGTGAGAGGGAGCTCCTTCCGGGACCATTACTGTGAGCGTCCAGCTCGTGGTCACCGGCGGCATCGTCTTGCCGCATGCGGCCGTCATCGGTGCCTCCTCCTCCTCCTTCGCGATCATCAAACCCCCGTCTGCAATATTCGTAAGGACGGGAGCTTCTGTCGCCATCGAGGGTTCCTCCGCCTTTGTAGTTTCCTGCCGGGTTCTGCTTGAGGAAGTTGAGCTGCTCTGGATCTCGCCCGGCTCTCGCGCCGATTGGCTGGCCCGACTGCGGTCTTCCGTTGCAGGGGCACTCAAAGCTCCCCCGTGGGCGGGTGAAGGATCATCCCTTCTTCTCTTATTCTCTTCTTCTTCTTTCCCTTTTTCTTTTACTCTTTCTCTCCTCCTTGGAGGGACCTCCTCTTGAGGTGTCCACTGCGGCTCGAGCTGGAAGGCTCGAGCCGAAAACTTGTCGCGAAACACTGTTGGTCTGCGAAAGACACCTGCTGACACTTTGCTATGCTCCGTTAGGGCACTGAGGCTCCTATAACGCCTGATGTGGACTACACCAAGGAATCGGAGGGCCCCACGCTCGTCGCTCCATGAGCCGAAGTCCAAGAGCCTTGCATTGGAAGTGTCGCTGTGTCGCTGCGGAATGCTCCCTCTGTGCTGTGCCGATCCAAGCCACTTCCAATGTCCGTCGCTGCCCCGAAGCACGTTCTCCACCTGTGCCGGGCAAGTCACTATCCAAACTTGCAAGGGTCTGGAGGCAATATCGTGAACCGATGTCTGTGAAGATGATACAGATTCTAGCGCTGGCAGGATCCGGCAGCGACGGTCAGGTCCTTAACCTATTCCATAGAAACTTCATTGCACCTTGCGCGTCGCAGAGTCGGAAACTGCCGAATCCTCCGTGCAAGCCTGCCTTCGTCCTTTCACCCACCTTCCGAACTCTGAAAGATGCGCTTGGTTGCAGAAGTGGAGCTTTCAAGTCGCGATGTTGCACTGGTGGCAGAAAGCTGTGCAGCACGGCGACTCCCTCAGACAACAGGGAGGTTCATGGTGCATGGAGAATACCAAGACCAGACGCGACGCCAGTATCACTAGTAGCACGCGAAGCGCTGCAACCGAGGCAACCGAGCGGCTGCCACGACTTCGGACAAAGTCTCCACGATAAGCTTCTCGGAAAGCCTCCCCTGCAGGCACTCTGGACCTCTCCTAAACTGTAGAGCACAATTCTGTGAAGGATACACTTGCGGCAGAAGGACAGATGCGCATTCATACTTTCAAAACTCAGTGCTTCTGCAGCTTTTGTTTATTTGCCTCATGCTTGTCGAGGAAGTTGAGAAGGTGCCCTCCCGAGCAGAACTCGAACAGCAGGCCGACCTGCAAGGCAAGGAACTCCTGCGACCCCGACAGGTCAGCCTGACTCTTGCACAGTATCCTTCTCGAAGCTAGTCCGTGCACGTGTCCAGTGATTGCCACAAGACTCGGGATGGAATGCAAAGCCCATCCTAATCCAAACGCCTGACACCCAACAGTCGAGAACCGCCAGGCCAACCCTGATCCCTGATGCAAACGTCATGCCCGCAGTCGACTTCGCAAAGTGGGATCCCTGAGTCGCCGGAGCCATTTGTGCTCTGCGTAACTCCAAGAGGTTACAACGGCTCAAAACTTGCCGAGATCATCAGAAAGTCTGGCGATGCCCCGAGATCTGTCGAGACGAGTTAATTAGCAGCCCTTCTGGCTGGAAATTGGCTCTACGCGCATCAAGAACCTCCTGGGATGCGCGCTGACAAAGGCTTGCCTCCGGCAATTGCTGGGCTCCGCTCAGCCTATGAAAAGGAAGAATAGCCCGACCAGAGGCAACGAGGTACCGAAGAACCTGGCGACAGAAACCAGCTCTGAAGAGTGAGGCACACAAAAACACAGTCTGGAGTTTCTGTCTGAGCTCTTGATTCGACGCATTTCTCATGCAAAAAATCTGACATCGCATACAACACACTTCCTGTTCGCTGCCCCTGGACATTGAGTAGGATGTGTGATGGGGATGTACGTGCTGAAGCAAAGGCAATCTTCAACCAACCATTTTCGTAACCACTCCCAGAGCAAGGACACTCAGTGGCATGTCTTTTGTCCAAGCTGCATTTGGTGCAGCAGCACCGACACCAGCCCTCCGTCGCATCCTTCGCTCAGCCCCGATAGATTCCAGGAGGGCATGCGAGTCAAACATTAGGTTTGCCGGATGGATTGTGTTGGCTGAAGAGGCTTAGACGACAAAAATCAGACAACTGGTGACAACATGCCCTGACCTAGCCAGCAGTGGGATGGCTGGCAGCCGTCGAAAGCGAATTCCTCTTCTGCCCGAGGATCATCATTGTCACAAGCACCTTCTTGGTCGGCCCAGTCACAACTGTAGCCCTCCTGCGCCGGGCAGCCTCAGGTTAGCTTGCGAGCCATCTGTGGCTGTGGCACTTGAACATGACATGACATGGCTTGTTTTTTTAAAGCTAGGGCCCTGACTCGCCGACAGCGATGGGTGGTCGTTCTTGATCAGCTGCATGTTGCTAATTGTGGCCTGCTGCAGTGCTGACCGCAAAGACTTAAAAAGAAAATACACACACAACAGGCAAGTCGCGGGACGGAAGGAAGAAGAACGAGAGAACTGCATAAATGACACAGTGCCTTGTTCCCACTGCAGTAAGAAGGGGCATGGCACGCTGCACCATCCAGCCATGTCAGGTCCTGGCCTGAGCACTTGCACGTGCACTTGTGGCCGAGCATCGCACGAACATGAAAGCAAAGCAGGCGGACATGGGCCATGGGCTTCCAAGCGTCTCTCCCAATAGTCGATGACCAAGACCATGCCCTTGGCGAGATTTCCCCACATGCCTGGGAAAGGGATGCAGCGGAGTGTAGCCCTAGTGCTATGCATCTTGCTTCTAGTGTCCTGCGAACTTGCGTGCGTGCGCAATCCGACAATCCGAACGGAATTCGGACTGAAAGAGATGCACGAAGCACAACTGCGGAATCTGGCCATCTGAAGCGTTGCGGGCAAACTGAATGGAAAACGAGAGTTTTGCTCCAAGTGTTGGGAAAGCGGATTGATTCGGAGACCCCGTCGCAGTTGCAGGAAGCTCGGTGGAATGGATCGAATTGCAGTGTGGTGGTCTCCGGTTCCACCCACCTTGGTGAAGGTACCCAGTTGTTTAGGCGTCCTTCTGGACGCGAAGAGTTGTTAGTAAGCATGGCATGGTTATGGGCCACATGCTCCATCGGTTCGTTCCACTCACCTTCCCGCTCACACATCTGGAGCGACCTGCGCAGGACAGCCGGTAGGCTCACGCTGGCTTGGCCCGTGTGTCAAGGTATATAAGCGGATGGGTTTGTGGACATCTGACCTGCTGACCATAGCAACGGCGAGTTGCAACTGATTTGCAACCGCACGAGCTCAAGCGCGCGGCTCTGGAGTCAATCGAAAGCTAGCAGGTTTAAGGCCTGTGCCATGAAGAACGTTCGAGGCCCTAACTGGCTTCTGCAGGTAGGATGTATCAAAGAGTTTGAAAAGCTTGGCGTGAAGTAGATCGACTCAAGAAGGATCTCGAATGTCCGCAGGAGCAAGGCATCTCCAACACTGATCCTGACATTCCTTCCATCGATCCTTCACCTGGGCCATTTCGGCAGGTGGGGTTCCCAGCGGCATGAGCCCAGCTGGCTTTACATAGCCAGAGGCCACAGCTCCACAGCCCTGAAAACAGCTGGCACGAGCTGTCTTCAGAAGACCCACCTCCCCAAACTCTCGCCTTGCAAGATGACCTCCACACTCTGGATATCTCTACACTCTACATCTTGCGGGCCACGCGACCATTCATGGGTGAGTTGACACCGCCCATCTGCTTCTTGATAACACGGCCCGGCCCCTTCGTAGCAGGGAGTGTGACATGGACGTAGGAGCCAAAAGAGAAGAGCCCGGGCCCAGGCCTGCCAAGCCCTGGTTTCCACGATGAGGTGGTTGGCCGGATCCGAATCTCCGTGAATCACCTCCTTCATCTGAACCTCAGCAACGGCCCGCAGCAACAAAAGCGAGTGGACTGCTAAACTACTATGCCGAGGAACTGAAAAGAAGAACTTCTGATTGGTGTCAATCTTGTTCCCGTCTCCTGGCCCGAACTCGCCAGGGTAGAACCTGGTTGCGTGCGCTTGCAGCTCAAACGCCGGGCTCTCGGGGAAGTTAATCGTCAAACTTAGTCCGCATCATCACAATGCTCTGTCGCCTACACTCGAAGAAATTCCGAATAAGCCAGTGGGGAGGGGCCCTGTCTTGGGTCCCACTTTCCCTCGGAGCCGGCTGACGAAGCGTCGAGCCCGACTTCGCGATGCAACTACCCTCAACTTTGCACCTGCAGAACCAGACCTTCGATGGAAAGGCAAGAGACTTACTCAGGCTGTCTGGAGTCAGACTCGCTCTCTGAAGAAGCTGGCTCAGACAGCGACTTCATCTCTGGATCACCATCGCCGTCGCACGTCTGCCTTTCAAAGGGGGCCGGGATGATTTTGGCCACAGGGTCCGTGCCGCGCGTTCCCGAGCTCCCGCTCTTCGCCTGCTCCAAGGCTCCCAGCAGTTGTGGTTTGTGATCTGAAGCGCGTGCTGGTTCATCTCCTCACAGCGTGAAGGGGCAAAACTACCCAGCATCCTACTTGCGAAGCCAATGCAGGGTCTAATTCAAACCGAGGAACATTAGTGTCGAACTCGGGGCAGAAATTGCCGCCCACCCCATTGCCATCACCTCACACGAGACCACACACCAGACACAAGATTAAGGCTTGGGCAGGTATGGCACGAAGTGACTGATCGCAATCACCAAGCAAGCGACTCTGACAAACTCAGTCGAGATGCAGTAGTAATCCCCATACTCGCCAGGCTGTGCAGCAGGCATCGAGACGAGGAAGAAGTTCACCTTGGGAAAATAGACGCTGCGCCACGTCGAGAGAAGGGGGCAACGTCATTGAGAGGCACATTGCAGCCGCAGCCGGCACCATTGAGGTCTACTTCAACGATCCTCGGCTGCGGGCTTCGAGGTGCTGTGCCCGAAAGCGTGGCTGCGGCATGGCTGCGTGCCGCCCCCCCACCCCCCAAATAGTCCATGTGACAGCAACTCGCTGAGCATAGCTGAGCAGCAGGGTCTTGCCCGGCAACTGGAGCATTTTGAAGTTCTGCGCCTCCGAGTTGTCCGCAGTGCGGAGCTTCCTTGAGATGTTCAATGTTCAGTTATGCAAGATTGCACATCTGCACACCAGCGTCTAAACAGAGTGCCGTTGCAGACGACGCTGTGCGTTCAGACCAAGGCCAATGCTATTCCGAAGTTTCTATGTGCCCAAGAAGCTTGAGGTAGTACTTGTCATTGATGCCATATGTGACAGCTCTCTTGTCGTGGACGGTCGCCCCCGGCAGAAAGTATGTGTTCCAGGTCCCGTCCTCGCCAACAGCTTGTTCGATTTCTCAGAAAACTTTTTGCCTGGCATACATGAACCGGTCTTGGTACAAATCTGTGGACATGTCAGATGTCGAGCACGTGTTGGCATCTATGGCAACCTGTCTATCTACAGTGGTTGCATCATGTTGCATCGAAGCAAGGCTGGAAACAGCCATGCAGTCGCGCGTGAATGCAACGTAATCTTGTGCCCAACATCAAACCTCCGAGTATGATGATGATGGTGCAAGGAAAGTGTCAAACATCGAGCCCGGCTAACTCTGCGCCATATGAGACATGAGCCAAGCTTGCCAAGCTACTCCTCGAGAAAAGGGAAGCAGATTCGGACCTGGCCTCCTGGATTTGGAACTCCGGGATAGACTCCGACGTTCCTGAGTCAGGAGAAAGACGTTCTGACGTTCTGTACCGAACGGCAGGCCTTGTCTCACCGATTCTGTTTTCTGGTTGCCTTATCCCCCAGATTTGTGACACGTCTGTCCAGCCTGGAGTGGCCTTCTGCACTGCTTACTTGTTGAAACCTTCCGGAGTGCCCGAGCAAGTAGCCGTCAATGCCCCTAGTATGCAACCATGCAAGGCCCGAAGTTACCTTCAAGCCTGAACCATCCATGTCTCGATTGTTCCTTTGTAGCACGGAGATGGGGCGCTCCCGGCCACACCTGCTTCCAGTGCAGTTGGCCTCACGACATTGCAATGATAGCAAAGGTGCACCAAGCTGACAAGCGTCGTCCAGCAGACGGTTGTACTGTGCCTAATGAACACGAAGGAAGCATTTTCGCAGTATGCCCAGCTTTTCAGGAGAGATGCCCCCAACATTCAAGCTGAAGGAAGGACGGGACTTCCCTGCACGCGTAATCTGCCTTGCCTTGATCTTGCTCCTGGCTTGCAGCATGGCCATGGGCTCTTGACCTGCGAAATTCTGGCTGCACGCAGCATGTTGCAACATGGCTGGACAACATGAAGCGACAGTTGAGGTCTTTCCACGTTTGGAACAAGACAACTCTGGGATTCAGACCTTGGCAAGACCCATCCTCGCATGCGTCGCGGGCCAGGCACAAGTAGAGCAGGGCTGCGGACAAGCAGCGCCACATGAGGTCTGCCCTCAGCTGCAAACAATTCGGCGTCGCGTTACTTCAGAATGCGAGTGTGCTCTGAAACGAGGAGGCAAGAGCTGCACTCTCAAGATACTGGAAGCCGGGGACCCGCCCATACGCAGCACGCCGTGCACTGTTTCGGACTACCCACGGAGAATGGCACCAGGATGGACGCCTCACCTCCTGAAGGTTAATGACGCCTGTCTCTGAGGGTCAAGTTCGTCAGTGACTTGCTTCACACAGCCTCGATCTTGACTTCCCTCCACCCTTGCAATCCCACGCGAACCATCTGCCAAACATTGGGTCCGAGGAGCAAATGCGAAACCTCCCTCGTGCGGCAACTGCAGTCCGCGGACGAAGAAAGGGTAGGACTGCTACTTGCTTTTGCTCTCTTCGTGTCGGTGTTCTTCAATCTACACTCGTACTGTTACTGCCCCAGACATGGATTGAGCCCAGAACAACAGCTGCACAGGAAGCGCAATGCTGCAACATGTTCTCAGGCTTGGGTTTCGGTTCTTGAACGCTTGCGATTCATGTGTCTTGCGGCTGCAGGAAAGGCTACCAAGCAGCCTACTTCGCCCCACCTCTCTGGACTTGCCCTCGGTCAAAACAATGTCTCCAAAATACCTGCCGGAGCCAACGACACTTGCGACAAGGATGCTGAAACCTTCAGCTAGTACGTCAGCTGAATCTATCTGCAACACCTGGTGCCTTTCACACGGCCTGACGACAGGAAGTTGAGGAACAATTGGCGGGGTCTCCGCCGAGGGGAGGGGAGCCTTGTTAGGGTGGCAATGATTGGATAGTCCATTCACGGTCTCAATGGTGCACAGAGATAACACAGCTGAGATGGGACACGGCACGTGGACCCAACTGAAGGCGCACTGAACCAAGTTGGGATGCCGGGGCAGTCTTTCCAGCCTGGAGAGACGAAGGGACTCACCAGCCGCGGAGAACATTGGAAGCACTGACCCCAAAGCAAGCATCGCCAAGAGTCTGAGCGAGATGAATGTTGGACGTGGAGACTGAAACTCCAAAACACAAGCCGGCCACACAGTTGAACTTCTCGTCTTGCCATTGCAAAAGAAGCCTTGTCCTGGCGCAGGAGAGCCGGAAATATCAGACGAGCTAGACTGATCCTCACCGGCTGCACCAAATTCATAAAACTCGCCAATCAAACCTCAGAGGTTTTTGAGCCTATCTGCACCGGTCAACTCTGCCAGCAGAAGTTGATGAAGAGTAGCGGACAACTGAGAGTGGTGGCCGTGCACTGGAGGTGCTGTTTGTGTCTGTGTAAGCATTCCACGACACCGCCTTGATCTGGGACGAGCTTTACACAAAACATAATATCGGCACGTGTGGCACCGCTTTCGGAGCAATCGAGTCACAGTCACACCCAGTACCTGCGACACACGGGGCCTTGGAGACCTTTGGAAGACACCCTGGGACAGCTGCAGCAAACAAGAGGCTCCTGACAGCGGATCTTCTTGAGGACCATCTCCTTCCCGGGTTTTCCAGGTCGCAAACCGATGCCAATGTCATGAGCTTAAACGCCACAACGGTTGTTACGGTACTGTGCACTCATCTTCGGTCATCTTCCTCGGCCCCCGAGAGGAAATCAACCTTCCAAACGAGGACATGTCGATGATCGCTTGCCTCGTTGGTTTGGGCGTCGTGGACCTCGGAATGTTAAGGCGAAAGCACAGGCGATAACCGGCTGCAGACTTGGGCTTTGGCCAGCCAAACGAATGCAAAGCCGCCCTCGCTGATCTGACGCGATTCGGTGACCGAACGGCCTGGCAGATCTAAATGCAAGCTTTGGTGTACAGTAGATCTCTAGGCTGCTCCTCGAGCTGATCCAGGGCCGGGGCCAGCGATGGAGTGCTGCCTCGCGTGGGGGGAGAGGTGCGCGTGCACCTGAGGACAGCGAGAGCGCCACGGAGGATGGCTTCCCTCTGACCCGCTGGAGACCCGAGACCAGCGCAGGCATGAACTTCTGCATCACTGGCCCGGCAGCCTGGCATGGGGCAGAGCATTGCCTGGAAGTTCTCCCCTGCCAGAGTAGGCCAGACATGCCTCACACAACCTCCCGAAACTCCGTCCCAGCCTCGTTCAAGAGATGGCCTTTGGCCTCTCTGAACTTCTCGTAACCTTGGGACGCTCTTTGCACTCTGTACGTAGGCAGTTTGAGCTGGGCACAGACGAAATCAACGAATATCCGACAATCCGACACGACCGAGAAGACGTACGGGTTCTTAGCTACTGAGCTTCACAGCGATGAGACAAGTGGCCTGCTTTCAGCCGTTCCATGCCCCGACTCGCATCGGTGTGGAGTCCACCGGTGACTAAACGGTTGCTTAAAGAGGCTGGTGTCGCAGGAGAGCTGAGGTCCTGTCTGTGTGTGCGTGTGTCTGGATCGGCAGTTTGCAAGTGTTGAGTCCGTGCCCAACGGACCTGCTGGGCTCACTGCAGATGCACCTAGACTCCACAAGACTGGATGCAGATTGCCGAGGGCTCTGGTGCAACTGCGTCATGACGTCAAGAAACAGCTGCGTTGCGAGATTCGTCTCAGAAAAACTTACTCCACTCTGAGAGTATGCATTGGGACTTCAAAGGGCGCAGAGCATGCCTGGGCTCTGTTGGAACAAAGTAATCTCCCTAGTCTGCAGGCCGTTACAATCCGATTGAGCTTCGGAGGGACGCCTCGTGTTGCGCGACTCGCAGCTCGGTGCTGCGTCTCTGCGATGCGGGCCGGCTCATGGCCTGGTCCCTGCCTTTACAGCAACAAAGACACTCGGCCTGAAACATGTTGAAACACCTTCAGCACGTTCTGCTGAAATCACAAAAGCAGAGCACCGTCTCTAGCTTCCTGCGGACATCGGACATCCTCGCAGAGTTATGCTATAGCGGATCTTTGGCTCCCCTGACATTGCTGCAGGCTGCAGCTCGTGCATCGGCAGGCAGAAATGCCAGGCTCAGGGCTGTACAGCAGTTGCGCCGTTTCGCTGGCCACTCAGGCGTTTGTGGTGATGTGCATGTTGGAGATTTGGGCCTTCGGACGAGCTGCAACAAAGCTTCAAAGAGGCAACAATCTTCTCACGGAGGTTAGGATGCACGGCTTCGAGCGACTCTGCGCTGCTCCCCGGCGCCTTGTTGCCGGTGCAGGATTCTGGTGCCTCCACCGCAATAACACTGACACTGACTGCTGTTGCCATGCACATGCTGGACAACATGCTACGGCACTGATGGAGCAACAGGAAAAACACCATCAAACAGCAGATCCGGGAAGCCGTTGCGTCAGGGCCTGACAAGAGGCGCCATCCAGCCACGTCATGTCAGAGCCTCGAATTTCCGCGACAACATGCGGGCTCAGAGGGCGAATCGCAGACAACAGGGCAAAAACTCTTGACCAGGACGATCTATAAGCCCTCGCAAACACGCCAGGATTGGAATAGTCCTTTCTCATTTTTCTGCAACACCTGCCAAGAAGTGCCTGCCCGAATGATTCCTTTGCAGCCATCTCAGACCAGAAACTTTCCCAGTAGTCGAAGACCAAAACCATTCCGCTTGCGAGCTGTGTCCACATACCTGAGGTGCAGAGTAACCGGTCTCAAGCCTGCTGTGGATGGCAACCAATGTCCAGACCATGAAATATTTTAGACTAAAGCAGCTGAGGGTCCGTTGAGGGCTGCATTGGTCATGGTGTTGGTGACCACTTTGTCCCCCTGCGTCTGTGAAGTGCTCCCAAACATGACTCCGGCGAACCCGAAGCTCAGCAAACAGCAAACGAATTTGATGGCAACAGTGAAAGCATCCGTCGAACTCAAAATGCAAGCTACTTGACAACGATCACACGTTTCACGAAAGACAACGGCAACATCATCACACACACACACACACGCGCGCACACACACAGAGAGACTTACTTGAGTGCAAGGAAGCCGAAGTTCTGCCAAGCCATCAACCACGCCACACGGAGATGCAGGGGGTATGCTACCCAAGTAAGCATATCGCTTCCTCACCTTTGAGATTGTGCATGCCCGCAGTTCTTGAAGTCAAACGAATCGAAATATGTGCGCCCCTCTTCCGTAATCAGAATAGGGTCTGGGGTGCGTTCCTTCGCGCCCCCCCTGAAGGATTATAACAGCGTAACCATCTAGCAAATCTTTCCCAGTCGCTCGTTTGTGGGGTTGAAGACGTTTTGGAAGAGTAAACAACAGGAATCATGCCATCGAAGACTGTGATTCGTTCACGCCACCAGCACCATCAGCACCAAAAACCAGCCTGGGTAGCAGAATCCCGACCCCGTGAACCCCCACGTCGCAAAGGATATGTTACCTAGACTGGGGAAAGCAAAACAAACCGCAGCCCGGCTGTCTTCTCTTGAACCCCACGGGGATTGAAGAGCCACCGTGACTTTTGAGAGCCCTGATTCCTCCTTCACAAAGCAAGCATGTGATTTGATCGCGAAGATCCAGGTGATGGCAACCCGGGACCCAAGCACAGTCGCCTGACGAATCGTCGCTGCGACGACAAGGTGATTGTCTGGGTTGTGTTCCGAATAGATCATCTCTTGAAACTGGACCTGGCCATATGATGAGTAGGGCAGATACCCCATCCTACAGATTGGGACTATGACCAACAAGGGAATCACTATCTTGACTTGGTCCATCTTGGATCTGACTGCACGCTGAATCTGAGGTTGGCGACGCCAACGACCACAAGGAATCACAAGGAAGCCAAATACATCCTGAGAAGTCCTTCTGGAAGCAAACGTGCAGCCAAGAGTCTGAATAGTTGAAGGGGTGCTCCGTGTCGATGGTGTTTCCATTTCCCGGACCGAACAAATTCGGTGAGAAACTTGGATCAGCACATGAGGAGACTGGTGACGTGAAGCATGTACCACGAAGACAATGTAACAGCGGCAAACCGCCGCATTCACTTGCCCAGACAGCGATGCTGAATCATATATCCTGACAGTCGCGCACCCCGCGCGAGACCCGTCGACTTAGCTCAAGAACTTCATGACCGGACTTCCATCGCCGTCACAGGTCGCGGGCGTTGGCGGATCTCCACAGAGATGATTTGTGACCTGTGAAGTGAATGGTTGACATGAGTGCCCATGCTCCAATACTGGGGAACTGTGGGCGTCCACCAGGTGGCAAGCGTTTATGTATCACGATCTTCCTATACAAGCTCAATACGAAAGCGCATTGAGCAGATATACGCAGACTGTCCATTGCTCGGAAGGCAACGCTGTGCTCAATAAACCCGCACAGGCCTGCACCGCATGGGTGTTCATCTCGTTCAAGTCAAATTCCTTGTGCATACGAAACTGCATCAACGCCAGAGGCTTCTCTTGTTTCACAAGCCGAGGCTCGTTGCAGCAGTTGCCACCCACACAGTTGGCATCGCAGTAGCAGTCACCGTACTCGCCTGGATGGATCAGGTAGCACCTTCCAAACGCCTCTCCGACAACCCCGCACGGTCCAGCTCGAGAAGATTCAATAGACAAAACTCGCCGAGGATCCCAGCGACGATGCCGGCATTGCCACCAAGAAGAAATTCACCTCGGCCCCGCAGCCGCACCCCATGCGTCGAATCTCGGCGGAAGGGGAAGCCCCCGACATGCCCCGACCCAATGTCTGCAGGCCTCACGAATATTTTCTCGGTCAAGCATGATCTGCGACTTGCACTGCAACATAGCCGGCGTGAATCTCTGAAGGAACCATCGTTGCAGTAGAAATTAAAACGTCGCCGAGTCTGCCCGCATCTGTCCGCACAAGTGTTCCCAGAAGTCATAAGATGTCATAAGATCGGAAAAATCGAAACTGCAACTGCTTTGCCAAGCAGCGTTGCAGCCACAACCAGCCCCGTTCCTTGCGCAGGGCTCTGGCGTTGATCACAGAGTGTCGGTACCAGCTGCTCGTTCGTTATGGGCTCATGCCAAGGAACAAATTAACGGTCGCTGTGATGGTCTTCCCTGGCAGCTTGAGCATCTCGAAGTTTCCAGCTTTGCACGTGTCCGTGGTGTCGTACTTCCTGACATCTAGCAGAATCTCATTTGATTCCTGTCGTGAAGACAGCATGTAGAAGCATTGGAGTCTTTGCCGCTGTATTTAGCCAATCAAAGCTCCACGTCGTGAATCCGTGGCTACGGCTTCGAAAAGCCGAGCTACATAAGGTAGTACTTGTCATTGATGCCATATTCCAGCGTGCGCTTGTCAATAATGGTTGCACCAGGCAGGAAATAAGTGTTCCAGACCCCGTCCTGACAGGACCCGGGCTGTGAGGTGCTAGGAACATTGGCACACGGCCCAGGCGGCCCAGGTGCCTCGTTGATTTGGAACTCTGCTCCTGTTGAAACCTCGGCACGGGAGAGAAGGAAGGCTCCGCCATCACAGGCCTTTGAGGCTTTGAGGCCCCGAGCTTCTGAGAAATTGAAAGCGCCTGTAGAGACACGTGGGCGGCCACGTTGTCGGGTGGTGTTGACCTTGGCGACACCACAGCTGGGGGCAGCGCAGAACGGCCCATTCAAAACCAGCGTTTCTGTGCAAAAACGCAAGCCTCCATGGCAAGGAGACGCCTCGGAGACGCCTCGGAGAGTCCGCAAGTGCGAGAGTCAAGGAGAGCTTGATAAGCTCCTTCGAAGAGATCGAGCCGACCAGCACCGAACCGCAGCCAAAGCGTGCTTTTTCTAATCTTCGGCTCAAGGCTCCCAGCACCGTTGAAGCCTGGACTTCCTACACAGTAAAGACCATGTCGGCCCAGGTTGCGCGTTGATGTTGATGCCCCTGAAGCATTGCAACACTGTCGCTGGCACCTTCAGGTGCAAAGAACTCAGCTGCTCAGTTCCATTCGAAGCCCAAGCCTCCATCACAGGCGTCGCTGGGGCCCTGAGGGCAGCCCGCGCTCGCAAGCTGTAGGACAGCGAGCACATTGAAGATGCGCCTTCGCACGATTCCAGACGGTCGATGAAATCGACAGGCTGCGTGCGTCCCAGCGTCTGTACCATTCTGCGGCTGGCTCCGGATGTAGGAGGCACAACAACCTCTGCCCAAATGGCTGCAGTGGCGATCCTCCCCTTCTCCAAGCTGCAAGCGCCAAGGCTTCTTGTAGAAGAAAGTAGCGAGAGAGAGAGAGAGAGAGGAGCCCGTCAGTCAGTCTGGAAAAGCAAGAACAACACTGCGCTTCTTGCAACAACCATGCTTCCTGGGGTATTACCCAGGACATCCAGAAATTGCATGCCTCGGGTGAAACGCTTCTTGGGTTTGTGTGTAATTATGGGTGCAGACCTTCGTCGAAATTTCTCTGACAGTGAATGAAGATTGAAGCAAGGCCGTTGATTATCGCTGGCGTGGGTAGCACCTATAGAAATGGCCGGCAAAGCAGCTCAAGTGGGCAACGCCATGCGCGACTCCAGGTTTCCGAGGTGGTTCTGCAAGGCGGTCGGGACCACAGTTCTCGACTCATCTGGGAGAGCTTGAGCTTTGAAGGCGGCACCTCACCTGCTGCCTACATCCGAGCCCGTTCATTGGAACCCCAGAAGGCTGGCATGCGGCGTGCGTGTGTGTGCGTGTGTAAACCGCCAGAGAAAAGACGGAATCGCTAATCAGCAACCACTTAAGGACTTACGGGCCTTCAGCACTTCGTCCATGACTTCGGCCACTTTTGCCTCCATAGCCCAATCCCGAACGGAAAACGACGAACGGAACAGGCGCTGTGGCGAAGACCCACAAGGACCCGAAGTGTTCAGGCCTCTGCCGCACTCTGTGGGACGCGGCGCCGATCGGCTGCCTCCACCCCGGCCTGAAAAGCGATGGGAATAGCTATGAAAATCAAGTAATGACGAACCTGAGCTCCTGGCGCCCTCCTCCTTGCTGGCGACGACCTCCTCCGAGGCCTGCACTAAACCCTGAACCTTCCCCCCCGCCCAAGCTTAGCCTCCAGCTCAAAGTTCGAGAACCTAGGACCCCTAGGGAGTTTTGCGGTTTTAGGGGAAATATAGGGGCCTAACTAATTACCTATACTTTTTGGGGGGTCCTCATTATGAGGTATAGTATCATGGGCCCCAAGACCCTATTCTAATTGTTCAGGCCCCTATATTAATGCCTCAATATGAGACTTGCTTTCGCCCCATCAGGAACCCAACCCCCCCGAACAACCCACAATTTGAATCTGAGATGCCCGAAAGCCG